CTTAGCTTTGAGACAAGAGGAAGTGTCATTTTTAGTTAAGAGTGAAGCGAGGCTGTGGAGAGAGCCGGAAACAAACAGTGACAGCAACACGACAACAGACGGTGGAAGAAAAAAACAAAACAAAAAAAACTACTCACCTATTCGCAAAAGTCGTAGTGGTTGAAAAACACTTCAGATTTTTTTTTTTTTGTTAGTCCGAGTCTTGAGATGTCGATGTGACTTTGCTGTCAGTTGGTGTGGACTTCCTGAATGACGGAGCAGCGGGGAGCACAACCCCTCGCGCTCGCGTTTGACAGCTACTTTGACAGACAGGCGGAAATAAAGTTGCCTCGTGCGTAAGGAAGTGTCTGCTGAAGAAAGTTTTTTTTTTTTTTTTTTTTTACAAAAAAGGTATTTTTCTTTTAAATATAAAACATACTGATTGTTTAGCACAGTATCGTATGCTTTATTGAAGTCTCCACATTCAGCCTAATGCAAATGTGAAACAGCGTTAAATATACCTTTCTCAATGCTGCTTTAAATAAAGAGTGAAGGTGTAAAAGTAAACGACCAAGAATCCCACATCTTATTTCCTTGGCAAATCATTAAACATGCATGGACTGAGTCATCCCGATTCTGTTGCAACTCCACTAGTAGCAAGCCAGTATGTCTCCCTAACGTACTCTGTACAATGATGCCATCCGCCGTTGGATTTATGAACTACAATATTTTCAAAGCAGTCCAGATAGATAGATAGATAGATAGATAGATAGATAGATAGATAGATAGATACTTTATTGATCCCGAGGGAAATTCAAACTACACACACGTCTGTGCTACAACTTGGATTATGATCAGGAGTTTAATAAGGTTACATTTCTTTAAAAAACCACGAGGATTAAGGCAACCTGGTATTACAAGTTTACAAATATTCATTTAAAAGACAACTGTATTTCATTAAAGGACACTGTTTGTTTTGTATTTTCCCTTTCAGTTTTGTCTTTCTTTTTTTTCCTTTTTCAAAAACCCTTATGTGGACAGTATTTGTAAAGTAGCATAAGGCTGTGAACACTAAAATGCAATGCATCAGGTGCTTATGTATATACGTACGTTTCAGTCACATTGCTTTGTTCATGTAGGAATACAATAAACATACTTGTTAATAGGATATTTGTGCTTTCATGGATTTTTTCCACACAAGATAAAATATATAAAGATAAAATAACTGAGGAGCCTTATAGGTTGGAAAAACGTTTTATTTGTGACTTGCTGTACATATACATATACATACATATATTATTTTTTTAGTTTTTTAAACAGAAATAGGCCTTATTTCAATCTAATAGGCAAATTTATACATTCAGTCAAAGTCAACCACTTAGGCCAACACACTATTTTGGAGAATGACTCTAATGTTTCCACTAATCAAAATGCCATCATTCAAAAATGACGCTGATAAAAACAAAGGCTTTCCTCTCAGATTTTTAAACTGGATTGGTGAAATTCAAAAACCTATGCAGGTCGTAAAATTCACACTGCGAGCCTATATATTTACAACTTTGTCCATTTTAAACAAAAAAAATATATTGCTGCAGAGATTATTTGCTTGCAGTCACACCAGTCCAAATGGTGCTGTCATTTTTATATCTTACATTGTAAAGAAACTAAAACAATGTTTTAAGAATATAATGGGGTGATTGCTGTCCTGACCATTAATTGAAACAATTCCCTGACTTTAATTTCCAGTCCAGTTCTGAACATATATTTAGAGGGTTGGATAAAAGGATCAACTAAATTGTGTTTAACTCTGATGATGATATGAAAGGGAAAGTTACAGGATCAATAACAGAATGAAAACCAACAAAACGGAAATTACCAAGCTTATTCCCAGAACAAGCTATTATTATAAAAACCCACACAATTCTAAGAATGCATGACTTTGATATTAATCTCTAACATTAACCTTTTCTCCAGAAATTCAATGATTTCTCATGGAAAATTGTCACTTGCTCTTACTTCTTTCTGTTTATGGTATTTAGAGATTTAGGATTCACTTTCTAAAATTACATTATTACATTACATTACATTTATTTATTTATTAACCTTTATTTAACCAGATAAAGAACCCATTGAGATCAGGATCTCTTTCACAAGGGTGACCTGGCCAAGAGGTCGGCAGCACATGTCATAAGAACAGTTACAATGAAGTGAAAGTATATATATATATATATACACATAAAGTGGATTGTTGTAATGTGTGACACTGTGGCACACCTAAACTTGCATTTAACTTATTTTCTACAACATTAAAGGGAACATCACTGGTATTGAATCCAAGCAGGTGTGTCATTTTATCAAAATATAATGACTTTGCTAATGCAATGTTATAAATCATGGCTGTAAAATCTTCAAACAGAAAATACCCCTGTGAAGTATACTCTAAGGCAACTGACTTAGGAATATGACATAAGGAACAATAATGTGTGAGCCATTTTACCGAGGCCTATGAGCACAATTTCTGAAAAATGTCTTTTGATTTAATAAAGACACACGTTGGAATTTCATAATGATCTCATTTGTTGATGTTATATGGAAATATGATACATAATCAACATTTTCCAAAATGTTTTTGAGAAGATACTGAACAGTGGTTTATGGGTATATAAACAAGAATATGATTAAAAAAGAATTTAATATATAAATATATTGTGGGCCAATCATGTTCGGGCAGTTCAGTGAAGATTTTGAAGCTATCTTTATACACCAATATTGGGAGATAACAAAGACTGTGAATATCAGAGGATAGTAACATGAGATGACTAAAAAATATTATAAAAACATGGGAAAGCAAACACATTTTTAGATGAAAAACATCTTCAAGGGTGTCAGCTTGCAAAAATACAGAACATAACTGGGCCATTCTACCGAATTAGTTCAAAATCAGGTTGGAAATATTTTGAATTTTTTAAAGTTGTATTCCCAAAGTGTTTTCCCTATATATATATATATTGTACCATATCTGAAGTACACATATCTAGTAAAAGAATTGTCAAATTTGATATTGTATTTTTAGTCTGTTTTGGAATGTATTTCTTCTCCCCAAATTTGTCACTACCGAAACAAAGTATTAAACTATGATTAAAAACAATATTAAGTGAACCTGTTAGTATTATGTTTACTTCCCTTATGTAAAGATTATTTTTACACATTTTTATTGAAGGTTTTCACAATAAAATCAATAAAAATGATTTTTTTAAACAAATTTCTAATTTTAAAATTCTTCAAAATCTATGTGCAATCTTTCTTTCTAAAATGTAAAACGCTGATCAGATTGATTTCAGAGTTAATGATTTATGAGATGGAACATACAGTTAACCAATCAGTATTATAACATTTTAGTTGATAACTCAATATATATACATATATATATATATATATATATATATATATATATAATTTTTTTTATTTTATTGTTTTCAAACAACCAGTGTTTCGGTAGTGACCAGCATTTTCTTTGTAGTGTTTTATCATATTCCCTCAACCTTATGGCTTAATATTAACTCATAGCATGCCTGATGTTGGGAATATTACAAACAAGTATGTTTAGTGGTCAATAAAATAAATTATTTTTGAAGAAAAATGTTCATCCATGACCATATAGTACAAATATTACTTAGTTGCTGTAAATAGATGATTGCAATGATGATACTTAAAGAAACTCACTGGTTCTAAGACTTTGGAACACATTTATTTCAAAATGATGAGATTTCACTACTCACCATTTCATTGTGTCACTACCGAACTTGACAGTGACATTTCTACCTAATTTTGAGCATAATTAAAGAATGCTAGCAAGCACATCTTTGAAGAGGTGTACACCAATAGAAACATAATAATTTGCATAAAACCCCAAAAAGTTTACATAATTGAAGAGAATGTGTTTTCGGTAGTGACAATTTTTAAATTTACACACTGATTGTCAGACTTTGGAGCACTTTTATTTTAAAATGATGGGATTTAGCTGCTTATCATGCAGCCATGGGGGACAGGGATATAATGTCACTTTCTGGTCAAAAATTCAGGGGTGTAGCTTAAATCTAGGCTCAGCCAAACGACTGTTTCGGTAGTGACATGAAAACAAGGGACTTGATCTTTTTTTATTTTTTTTTATTTTTTTTAGCATAGTTTTTTAATTTAAAAATTAAACCCACAATAAATCTAAGTCTTTCAACCTTTGTTTGAACTTAATCATAAAGATCTTTTAAATTACACAGTTGAAACAAATCTAAAAAAATGTTTTAAGTGGTATTTACATAAATTAAAATGTAGGGGTCAGGATTGGGGCTTATCACTGTCTCATTTAATGCCCTGGGTTTAAATAGATCATAATATAATCTCAGTAAATATCCATGTCTGAATATTTAATTGTTTTGTTAAACCTTTTTTTGTAATGGGACTGCACTTTGAACTAATTCGGTAAAATGCCCCAACTAATGCCCATCTATTGATTCCTAACAGGTCGGGAAGAGAACTAACTAGGAGCCAAAACAAAGAGCACTAACAGCCCTTAAAGTCCGGATAATATGCCTGTTTAAATGTTCATCTAACTTATTTTCAATGTATCTAGCAAATACACTTATTTATGTGTATATCCTCTCTCTTAAGTATATCATTTTAATTTGTATCAAAAACATCAGATACATTTGGTTTGTTTTGATAACACTCGATAATATTGCAGAAAATCTATACAGGCACAACTTCGGACAACTTGGCCGCTTGGAGGTCCTTGCCAGTTGTAGGCGCTGTTCCAAGCGAGCTGCGAAAACACAAATCGATTGTTTATTTTGTGTTTGTTTACATTTTCTTTTTTTTTTTTTGGGCGAACTAATGGCTTCGACTTTACTCTCGCCTATGGTGGATTATTACAACGACGAAGAAGAACTGGACAGCGTGGACGACGACGACGATCGGAGTTTCAGAGGACGAGACTCGGAGGAAGGTAAAAAAAAAACAACAACCTCTCCGTCGCGGTCTTTTAATGCTGGAGAAGAAACGCCAAAAAAAAACCGCGCGATAACTACGCGTAAATAGCCACTTCGACAATGCGTTTGATGTGAAATCGAGACGTAATTCAGTGTAATACTAAATCTCTACGACAAACACGATCAAATCCATCAAACTCTGAACCACACGTAACTAGCCTGCTAGCTGTGATGTAGCCTTGTGGAGAAACATGTCAGGATCAGGTGATTAATCGTGTTGAACACAGGTTAAAACACTCAGGTGTGTTCACAACTTAAGTCAAGTATCACATCGTGTGTGTTACCTGCTAACTAGCTCGTGTTTTTTTTACGCGTAATCCAACAACAACACTTAAAAGTTGTGCAATAGTGTGCAATACAACTTTTTAAAATCAAATGTCACTGCAGCGTTACGTGGGATATAAACGGAGGTGTTTTTTTTATATTTGATTCTAAAAAATAAAAAAAATAAATGAGGTTACCACATGGGGCGTCGATTTAGCCGGCAGCTTAAGCTAAAGTTAGCCACGCAGCGTTAGCTCTGTGACAGGTCGTGCAGGCAGGAGAAACCTTTGCGTGCTGTGTCCACTGCACTGCCCTCCTCTTCTTCACACTGTACAGTGAGACAGGACGGGTTGCAGTAAAGAACAGAGAGGAGGAGAAGAAGAAGAAGAAGAAGGAGAGGAGAATTTGGGGGCGATGACAGCACTTCAAGGTTAGCTGGTTTCTTGTAATTGACTTCTAAGCGGAGAAATTGTTGTTGTTTTTTTTTTTTTTTAAGCTCCGGCTCCGTGTGTTACTTTCAGGCTACACACGGAGACTCTTTTTAACAGGAGGCTGAGCTAACTTATGCTAGCCATTAAATGCTAACCGAAATTGAAAGCTGCTGATTCAGCTTTACGACTCCGGGCCTTAACCCTCTCTTCTCGTATGTCCGGAGGTGAAGGTAACGCTGCGTTTACCCAGGTTTCTTTAGCCCATGCGAGCAAACTTAGCTCCCCACAGTTTGCCACTTTCGCCTCAACATGTAATCTGTCCGCAGAGGGAGAGAGAGAGAGATGGTCTGACAGCAAGTTAGCCCGGAGACTGATTTTTAATCCCACCATGCGGCAAAAATGCTTGACACTTAACAAGAAAACTGCAACATTCATGTGTCGATTGATTTCGCCTTAAAACTTATTAACTTTGCCTTGCTGAACTCTCTCTCTCCCCCCCCCTCCCCCTAATGTCGAGACGAGTGTTTTGAGTTTTCATGCCCAAACTTTGGGGTTGCTCCTTTTGGTTTTCCCCCAATCTAACCAGAGGGCATTCCAAAACTGGGTGTTCACCATTACCTTACCAGTGCCACGCACGTCCTTTCATCTGCTCCCTGCTGTCTGTCAAGATCCTGTTGAAAATAAACACTAATACTAACATTTTATCTCCGGGTACAAAATGCTGAAATGATCACGTTTCATATTTTCACAACAGAGAATCACTATCTGTTTCAAGTTAAGATGTGGGGTTTTTTTTTTTGGAAATGTGAGTCGATTCTGCTCCTGTCATGTCCCCTTTTCCAGACACAGAAGATGCCAGTGAAACAGACCTTGCCAAGCATGACGAGGATGACTATGTTGAAATCAAAGAGCAGTAAGTGTTGTGCCGACCGTGGATCAGCTGTTTTGCCCTTAATAATAAAAAAAAAAAAAAATCATGTTGAAGGTGAAACCTTTTGAAGGATTGCCCTTATGCCGCACACAGCGAAAGCCAGTGTGATATTTTAAGCTCTGGTTTATTATTTCATCGCAGGATGTACCAAGACAAACTGGCCTCTCTGAAAAGACAGTTGCAGCAATTACAAGAAGGTATTCCCTTTTTTTTCCCTTCTTTATCACTGATATTTGAATAACTGCTACGGCTTCATGTGGAATGGGACCTGTATAAGCATTGGGAAATCATTTTTATTGGAGACTATTAAAGGACTCAGGCATGTGCTTATTGTTCTTCATGGCGGTGGTTGTTGGTGGATTACATCATCAGAAAGTAAAAGGTTGTTTCAGAGGCAGCCACGATCTGCCTTAAAAACCAGCTGATGATCATAACTACAAAACATAACCCCATGTTGAACAGCTTTTATTTAATCATTTTGACTGCGTCTTAAAACAGCCCACTTTAGCACACGACCTCCTAATTGCTCAGACTGATGTTGACTGACAACATGAGCTCTCAAATATGGTCGCAGTCTAATCTGGTCAGTACTGTAGGTGGGTAATGAAAGTAGCAGTCTGATGTGCTGCCTAGAAACATTGATGGCATGTTTTATGTAAACATTTTGTAGTAGTTAAGAATCATTGTCCTCTCCCTCCACATACATCTTAGTCATTATTAAACTATAGCTTAAAAGTCTTATAGAAAATGTTGTGATTTCAAAGATCTAATCCTTTTGTTTACGACTCTTTCACCTCACAGGTACGCTGCAGGAGTATCAGAAGAGGATGAAGAAGCTGGACCAGCAGTACAAAGAGAGACTTCGAAATGCAGGCAAGCTGAGGCATATTTGACATAAAACACACTTCTGTGCTTTGCTTTAAATGCATCCACAGCTGCCATGTTGGGTGTAAAATATTTGGATTTTGGACTGCTTCCTGCCTTTTTGGGGGGATTATTTGTCAATAGGAAAACCTTGGCAAATTGGCAGCAAACATAGAACTGGAAACTTGCTCAAATGTGTGTTTATCCCTAAAAAAGTATATAGAGCCATTACTTAACCATTCATTTATTACAACGTAGACGTGCTAGCTATTGGGTACAACATTAACTTAGAGCAACTTAAGAGTGGAGGAATGATCGTATATGCGCCTCTCAGTGTTATTTTGGGTGTGTGAATAACGCTGTGCAGTTAATATTACATATAACACATTTTCCGTTATTGAGAAAGAGTTGTCATTTGTAGGCTGTTGCCATGACAACAAAATGTAGCTGCAATGTTGTAAAGAATTTTAGCATGTTGGACATTTTGGTTGGCTGAGCAGTTGCAAGGCTCTGTCTCACCTGGCTGCCTTAAAAACAATCTGATACACTGGATTTTGGACTGCAGTACATTCAAAGGGGGGGAGACAGCTGAAACATAAAGGACACTTTGCAGCAACTTTTTACATACCACAGCTAACAAGGATAGAGCGAGATAAGGTTTGAATATTTGGATTATTTAGAGACATTATATTTGAGTTGCCTTACAGAAACTGAAATCTAATTTATTATGAGGAGGAATGAGTCTCTCTCTCTCAATATGTCCAAATATGTCTCACTTCCTCCATTTGACTTTTTAATTATTTTCTTCATTTAACTTTGTATTGTCTCAGTGGCTTGCGTGGGATCAGCTTTTTCCCTTTTCCTGGCTGTGTTTTCTAAAGTTAAGCCTTATTGTAGTGCTTTTGCTTATCATTGTTATAAATTGCACTGCAAGCAAAATCACAAACAGCCCATGATAACTAATCCGAAGTAGTGGAGTACACTCACTTTAAGACTGCCTTGTGTTATTTATGATATGTGAACACAAACATGTTGAAAGGGTAGAAACAGTAAGAAATGCATTCTTTATTACTCAGGGCATAATTGTCTCTCTCATTTAAAGTTCATAAACATCTGCTTAAACTATTAGTAGTAATTTGAACTGATATGTTTGCTCTCCCTTTACAGACCTGTTTCTACAGCTTGAGGTGAGTACATTGCATCTTGCTCTTGCTTTCTTTCTTTTTTTTTTATACAAGGGAAAAAAAAAATAGTTTTTCAATTTCCTTCTCATCTTCCTGCAGACAGATCAGGTGGAGAGAAACTATATCAAGGAGAAGAAGGCGGCGGTGAAGGAGTTTGACGATAAAAAGGTTGAACTGAAGGAAAATCTAATTGCAGAGCTGGAGGAGAAGAAGAAGATGATCGAGAACGAAAAATTAACAATGGAGCTGACAGGCGGTAAGGGAGCCAGAATGGAATTATTTGATCAGGGACTAAGCAGAAGAGAAAGAAATAAGCTGTAAAAAAAATAAGTAGTATGTGGGTGGATGTGAGAGTTCTCTCTCCACACATTTTCATATTAAGCTTTCTGATTAAAGCAGGACTTCTTACAGACACTGGATTTTATTCAACCCTCTCTCTGTTTTTAAATGTATGTTTTATAATAAAGCACAATGGCAATGCTTTTTGAGAAAACTTGTATGTTACTGTTGGAGCGCAGTTCGACATTATTTATTTCATTCGCAGACTCGATGGAGGTAAAACCTATCATGACTCGGAAGCTGAGGAGACGGCCTAATGATCCGGTCCCAATACCAGACAAACGGAGAAAACCTGCACCAGATATCCTTCACATACACTGTCTGTTTCTGATGGGCGAGACTTTATTATCACCTTAGATAATTGTTAAATTGTTCTGTATCATATGAAACTCCTGAGGTGGTTTTTCAGTTGTCAGATTGGCTAGCATCTACTTTTGTGGAAGTTCATCCATGAAATCCTGTTGGCTGGGGGAAAAAAAAAAAAACCTTCCTTAACTCTTCAAACCTCAGTTAAATTATTTGTTAACAGATGACCAAATAATGGAAGATCTAAGAACACTTAATAAGGTGATACATTTATTTTTAATTTCTTAATATTATGTGTGTTCCTGCTGAATCTGCATTTGTCTAACTCTGTCCTATTTTCACACCTTCTCTTTTACAGCTAAAGTCACCCAAACGGCCAGGTATGATGAGGCTCACCTTCTGTCATTAAGATTTGATTTGCTGCTTTAGATGAGAAATTCAGCATTGTCCTCTTGTCTGTGCACTCAATGTAAAACTTTAATTAGCAGCTGGTGAACTTAGCTTTTAGTATTTTGTTTTTAGTTTGCACTAAAAAAAAAAAAAAGTAAGACAATAAATGTTTTTTTTTTAAATAAACAAAGGGAGAGTTTGTTTTTTTAAATGGAGTTTTAGGAGGTAATTGTCAATAGTAAGTGCTAGTCATCAGATGCCGCTCAGAATGGCCCCTTTATTGAGAAACCAGCTGGAGTACTGGCCCAGAAGCGATGCTGTACAATGCTGCAGTCCTCTATAGTATTTTATTACCTGTTTCCTACCCTTATTGGCAGCTGCTTGTATCTTCATGTTAAATAGAGAGTTAAGGACAGTAGTATCATGTTCCCCTTTCCCTCAACAAGGCAGTGAATAAGCGTATTTCTCTATGTGGAATTGATAACATTATACATGTATATTTCTGTATTTTATAAAAAACAAAACATTATGTGTACATTAAATTTTCCCAGTGACACTCATCAGGTGTTTTTCCCCTCTTCAGTGTCTCCCTCGTCCCCGGAGCATGTCCCCTCCGCTCCCATGGAGAGCCCTTCACAGCGTTATGAGGCCCGTATCGAGGAGGGGAAACTTTACTACGACAAAAGATGGTGAGTTTTCTTTTTATGTGAGCTATGTCAATCTATGGTCTACACATCCAACATCAGGAAAATACTCACAGACATCAGGATAAAACAGACAAGACAAGGATGCATTAAAAAAAACATACTTAACACACATTAAAGAAATAGCTCCTCCTCCAGTTGTGCACATCTAATAATCTGAAATAAATTATGTTGAATTAAAATCAACATAAAAATATATTGTATAAAACTTCAATACCATTCTGCCTCAATCTAGTGCCCCCATCTTTGTTCCCAAATTAAACAATAGAATAATTGTCTAAACTCTGACAGCTCAGTCATGTTCAAGGTGGCGTGACTGTCTACCTTTCCTAGATTTGAACAAACATGAACAGGAAGGGGATTAAAAACAGTCCTCTTTAGAATTTCCTTGCTTTCTTCTCCCACCACTAGATGGCCACATTGCCAAAGCTATGATAGTGTTTGGGTGGTCTTCAATAGACAATTTCAAACCTCCTTGATGGAGGCAATCTTTTTCTGTCGGCGCTACTATAAGTGATGTTTCTTAGCAGCCACCAAACATGTGCTTGTGCTTGTAGCCACCATTTAAAAATAAATGAATAAATAAAAATCAGAGAAGGTGGATGCATTAGAAGCCGGTGCTTCACAGCATGTTGTGACGCCTAGAGAAAGGGAATAAAAAAAAAAAGAAAAAAAATCAATGATCAGACATGGCTCTGATTTCCTTCTGTGTGAGCGCCGAACTGTAAAGCAGAGATGTTGAGTAGCTGCTGTAAGGTTCAAAGAAAGTTGAAGCAAACTGTCAGGTATGAGCACTTTTCCATTAAGGCTAATTTTCATTTATTCTTCCGTAAAGACACCAGCTGCACGAGAAAGCCTTCACAAAATGCTGCAGGGGGACATATGCATCATTATACTTCAGAGCGCCCTCAATGATTAAAAGCCTTTTTTTTCTTCTTTTTTTTTTGTCAGTCTCTTCCCCTGGGTCGGCTTTGTCCTCTGACAGTTTACAGCCATGAAAAATATTACAGACTTTTTGTTTTGACTTTCCCCTCCAATTATCCATTTAGTGCCATCTCAGGAGGAATGTGATTTGTTCAGCTGGGCGAAATTATAGATAATGAACGCCTCTCCCGTCTGCACTTGTGCCTGTCCCTCAGTGCTCACCTTGAATGCTGAATTAATGCTGTTTTTGTTGCTGACAGGTACCATAAGAGCCAGGCTATCTACCTGGAGTCTAAGGACAACACAAAGATTAGCTGTGTCATCAGCTCAGTCGGGACCAATGAGGTGAGCCTTAATTCACATTTCAGCTCCTGTTGCATTTAGAAACCTACTGCTTGAGAGATTTGGCTGGTGAAATTCTGCACTTTCCTTTCGGTTGTAAAAATCCTCAGAAAAAGACCTAACACTTATTGTCTGTGCAGGCTAAGTTCAACATGTTTTATTTTATTCCTCTGGGCTGTGCAGCTACATTTTAGTCCAAAAAGACATTCAAAACCCATCATTGCAGTCATCACAACTGGACTTGAACACATCCTTCATTTCTGAGAACAATCATTGGAGTTTATTTTGACTTGATAACATGTACACCACCATGCTGTTGTAAAATCTCCCCAGAGCACCAAATGTGTATTGAGCAACAGCTGAAAATGGTTTCCAACAAATGAACAATGTACTTCCGTCCGAGTAACATTTGCTCAAACATTCATAGACAAACATAAGCAATGTATTAGGTAATTGCTTCTCTCTGTTACTTAGTCATTATTAGTTTTATTAAATTTCCTTGCAGTCACAATAACTTAAGGGAGCCTTTGAATTGCCTACAAAGCATGGTATCACTAATGAATTAGTCTATGCAGAGATTAAAGATTACATGACTTTTTAGTCTTGGAAAAAAACCAGCTTGTTCTGCTGGAATTTCAGTCTTGTCCCCATCAAGAACAAGTTTCACTGTGCTGCCACCATGAATTTATTACAGCTTTAAGACAAAACTACTGCTTATAAAGGTAGAAAAACAATGGATTTAAGGCAATTTATCACATGAAATGGCAACCTGCCTGTGTGGTGCTAGCATAGGATAAACCATTAGTCAGAGCTAGCAATTTTACAACATTTATCACAAAAAATCCCACCAGTTTTACTACATTGTGAAAAATGCAAAGCTGCAATTTTTTTTTTAGCCATATAGTAAGGGTGAATAATGCCCCCTGCTGGTTAAATTGCCTCATTGCCTGATCACCAATGAGAGAAAGGTAAAGAGGGATTTGTCTTTTAATCTTGTTTAAACCAAAATTTAGTTTATTAGTTGATTATTTGTGACTTTTCTCAATACATTAAAGAAAAGTGTTATGTTGTACTTGATCTGTATTTATATGTTCATATATGTTCATATATGTTCATGTATTACGACAGCTTTAACCTGAGCCAGGCTGTACAACAATGCTAGCATACCAAATCCATTAGATAAGCTGCTAAAGAAGAATATTAATAATATGTATCAGTGATGTGATTCTTCTAGATAATCCGGAATTCTGGATTATCCGAGATGAAGAGGTGAAATCCTCCTCTTTTATCCGATGCATTACACATCTCTGTTAACATTCATTATGGTATCTCAAAATAATCAGCATCAGGAGGGAAAATTGAACTGTATCTCCTCTGTACTAATGTCTATATCAAGTGATTGTATCTGTTTGTTCTCAAGATTTGGGTGAGGAAGACGAGCGACAGTACAAAGATGAGGATCTACCTGGGACAGCTGCAAAGGGGAGCGTTTGTCATCCGTCGACGGTCGGCTGCGTGAAACATTACCCCACCCCTTCCCGCCCAATTACCATCTGTTCATTTGTCTATCCATCCACCCTGTTGTTTAGCCCCTGTTTCCCTATTTGGTGCTTCTCTGTTGAGTTTAACATGTGGCCTCTTATTCTTTAACATCTATCCCACAAATCATCCCCCACAACACAAGCATACACAGTCCCATCAGATTGAATCAATTTTCCCACATAAACCAATTACTACTGTTTTCCAGCATTATCTGTCACTATGTGGCATGTTTGTGAAGGCAGTTACTGGTATTAAAGAAGCCTGCTTTGATTCCTTATTTTTTGTCTCTTGCAGTTTTCAACACATCTGTTTTCTACATCATCCCGTCTTATTTACATTTATGGTTAAGTTATTTTTCCTGAACATTTTCAAGACTGTCTCACTGATTTCAAAGGCACTTAGGAAATGATGAGAATGAGCAGCAGGCGTGGCTGTACATCATGAATCCCTTCACTGAAGAAGTAACCGTTCCAAAAAGAATAAGTCTCTTGCACTGTCATCGAGGAATAGAGGCTGCTCTCTGTGCTGATGGTTTGTCCTGATAATTTGTTCAAAATTCCTATGTATGAATTTCTTTTTAAAAAAAAATGTATTTTGAGGATTTGATGTTATTTTTTTCTTATTTTATGTGATATTCTCCATATGTGAATGATCTGCAGAAGTTCAGCTGTATGTGGAGCATTAAGTTGACAGTTGATTTGTACTGTGTTCCATTTTATTAAAAATGTTATTTGTTTTAATAATTTGATGAAAGGGTTTTTTATTTTTAAGTAATTAATTTGGATTAAACTAGTCATAAAAGCAAAATTAAATCTAGAATGAACTTGACACTCTTGAATTCATCATCTGTTATGCTTTGTTATATCATGCTAACAGTAGTATAGTTCACCTTTATTTAGTTTGCTAGCGTGCAAGAATGTAGTTTTTAGCACTAAACAGAAAGTGCACTTTTGAAAATTATATTGGCAGTAAGCTATTGGCAACGTTTAAAGAGCCCATATTGTGCCCTTTTTGGGGTTCGTATATTTAATCTATGTACCTACTTTTGTATGTTCACAATAGCTAAAGTCCGAAAAAAGTGTCTGTTTTCATGTACTGCTCCTCCTTGCTCCCTCTACGCTCTGAGTCTGTCAGCTACACTCTGTTGAGCCCACACTGTTAGACCCCACATGGGCCAAGTCTGCTCTGATTGGTCTGCCGATCCGCTCGGTCATTATTGGTCAATTGCTCAGCACGCGTTTCGGAAATTTCAACATGAGCTGCTGGGCTTGCCACAACGAGCCAGTGGGTGTAGATCAGTGATCTCACACTGACAATGACGTGGGACTGACAATTTTTTTATCGAGGGGGGCTAGAACCGAGTGTTACATGCAGCTAATGCTACAGCTAACTGGAGGACGTAGGAGAAGCCGCGTTTCCGCGGACTTGGAATTTTTGCACATAGATGTGCCTAAACATGCACAGGACACTTGGAAAACACACTTAAGGGCATATAAAACCAGAAAAAGCATAATATGGGACCTTTAATTTGGACCTGAAGAACGTGCTTAAGAAAAGAACAGAACCATTGACTTAATGTATTGGAATCACCCATTTCTAATCAATATTGGAATATATTACACTGGGTAAAATAGAACTTTAGGGCGGTGTCGAAGAGAAAGGGAGTTTTTATATTTCAGACAAAATAAAAGTAGGAAAGGAAATTAACAGGTAGCCTACCACCTTCTGTTGTAATAGGCTACTGCTCACGTCACACAGCTGTTTTAGTCAAGCTAGCAAGTGCTAGCAAGCTTCAGTTGAAGTTGTTCTCTGACCTTATAAATGTAGGTCTAATATCCACACTAATGCAGCTGTGTTTAATAACTGGAAAATAGCTGCTTTGTGGCTGTTAAATGTGCAATGACGTTTGCCAGGAAGATGCTATCTGTAGCTTGGGGATAACCTGCTAGCATAGGCTACACTAGCTAGAGTTTTTTTTTGTGGTTGCCAATTTTATTTTATTTTTCTACTTTTTTGTTCTGTTCCTCTGCTTTAAAGACACACAGTATACAGATGACAGTTTTTAAAGAATCAGCCGTACATTTTTAAGAATATGTGGATTATGATACTCTGACATGCTCATAATATCTTAACTCAGTCACTCATTCATATAGCCTAATAGGTTTCAGAAAATCATTGAATTACTCTTTATTTTCCCCGCTGTGCACAGTGACCATTTCTGTAGGAGGCTGTTTTCTACACCACATTATTTTGCCAGCTTCTCTTCAATAAACCTGACCGAGTCAGCTTAAAGTTCCACGCCTCACCTGCAGGTGCTCTCATCCGTCCCTCAGCTTTGTAAACACCTGAATTATTTGGCATTCAGCGCAGGTCTCCTCCTGCCGAGCAGACTGCCTCTTGCCTCTTCCTTCTTATGTGTCCTATCACTTTAACCGGATGGCATGTTTCACTTCGCCTGACTTAATGACACAGCCTGACAAGGAGGGCAATTACTGTTTTCCTATGCTGCACAAAATGCAGGGCTCATCTCAAAAGGCTTGTTGTGCAGAAGCCATCAGGTGTGATTGCTTGGTCTCCTGCGAAGGCATGAAATGAGCTGATAGTGAATGTGATACCAGTCTGAGCCTTGATTGTACCCCCTGTCTGGCTTTTTGTTGAGGCTAGAATAACAGACACTGAGGTACTTGATGTGAGTTGTCTTGGCATCAGTCTATAGCTAACCACTGTGTTTGACCACACACCGGGGGCAATTTAAACTGATCTGGATACAGGAGCTAGAGACAGAATTGTAAGAGAAGCAGGATTGGTCAAAGAGTATAGAGACTGATACCCCTTGGTGACCCCAAATTACAAGACTTACATGGTTATAAATCACATCATGGATGAATAACTAAAAAAGTCTTAAATGGCCCCTGATCAGAACTTTTATGAAAAGTGACTTGAGATTGTTTGTTTAAAAAAAATGCAACGAAACAACTAAAAAATAACTCGAAGATAGTGAAAGAGAAGACACAAAGAGAGGCAAAAATAACAACGAGATGCAAAACAAGAAACACAAATACCAAATAGAGAGACAAAACGATTCAAGGGTTCTAAACAAGCACTAATTTATGCAAAATAACCACAAAGAGATGCAAACCAAAAACAACAACAAAAATAATTCCACAAAGCTATAACAAATGACAAGATGTTGCCTAAAAATAATGGGGGGGAGAGAGAAACAGCAACAGAGAGAAAACAATTATAAAGAAATACACTTAAAGACAAAAAGGAGAGGTAAACAATCACAAAAAAAATGAAGAGAGGCAAAACATGAAACAAAGGAGCAAACAACTACAAATAGATTTAAAATGACCACATAGATGCAAAATGACAACAAAGAGACAGTGCAGTGGTCAGTCTCCCACTGTCTTCAACGTGCTGCATAAGGTTGTGTGTCAATGACCCATATGTAACAAACAGCGGCCCTCACCCTCCTTTCTTCACATTGTTGTCTGTCCAATGATCAATATGAAGCTCTTTGGGTTCTATAGATCTAAAGCTCTCACTGCAGGTGGCTGTTGATTGTGTCTTAAATCAATATGCTGAGTAAGCAAGCAAGCCACTGGGAGCACTTATGCATGTAGATAGCCCTCTAGTGATAATTTAATTCCTCATCATGCTTTATGTCTGTCCATCAGAGTGTGTAAAACACCTGCTGATGCTCACCATGCTCACAACGAAAGGATCAGGCTCTCAGCTCTGGTTGTGGTTTTGGTTTGTTTTTAAGTCTCAGTAGAGCTGTTATACTCCTGGTTGTTGGTTATTGCTTGTATGCATAAAAAGTCACCCAGGGCGTCAATATATATCCCCCATGTGATCTCCCAGCAGCCTTGGTTAGCACAGAACTTCCTCTTTCATCCTCTTCTCCCTAAATTGAGCATTCGCTCCACTGCATGTTAGCACTTCCATGCACGGCTCCAGGCGGAGAGCTGCCTCTCGCACTGCACTATCTGGTGGAAAACGAGGGATCCAGCCAGACTTGGATTTGCCTCTGGTGGTCTGAAGAGAGCATGGTAGCCTCTTGACTACCCTGCAAGACCCTGCTGTGTATGTATGTGTGTGTGTGTGTGTGTGTGTGTGCATGTATGTGTGCCTGTTGCTCCAGTTTATCGCTCTCTAGCAGGTTTCCACAGGGAGAGGAATTCATTTACAGCGCAAGCTCCAAATTTGACTCTCGATATTTGACCGCGGGTTAAAAAATTGATATGCAGCCTCACTGGACCATTTGGTAATATTAATCTTTTACAACATTCATGTTGTCATCTCATTACAAAATCAGGTCATCGTATGTGTTATTTATGCTCAGGACTATTCTGTTTCGCTGCTGTTTTAATGTTTCACACCAACGCAGAAAAACATAGAGCAGAAGAAATCTAAATAAACACCCATCACAAAGGCCAGAGTGTGAGCAACCAACTATTACATTTAAAATGTGATATGTGGAGTAGACTTTCACCAGTAGTGAATCTTATTTTTGTAATATCACTGTAGAAATTGAGTCCTTGCTAATAGTTATGTTTATAGCTAAAGTGAAGTAAGAGCAAGCAACATTAAGCTTACTTCAGCCATGTTTCAAGATATATGATTTCTCATTAGATACCATCAGACAACAGCTACTGTTTATAACTTTTATACATTATCAGTTCTAACATTAGTTAACAGGTATATTTACTCGGAAGTTGAATGCTAATGTAAGCTATTGTTAGAAGCTAGCCAATGTTTATGTTGTATAACTAAATATTGATAACTGCCAAATTTTCACCATCTGCCTCTTTCAGTTGCTGAAACATTGGGGGGGAGACTTTGGAATTATAATAAATCAGATTATCTTTACTTGTACGATCTGCAACCGAGACAATGTGGTGGGTTTCAAAGGCCACATAGAGAATCAATAAAGCAAATATAGGCAGTATTTGTGGATATGTAGACTTTATTGTAAGTAACAAAGCCGAGTCAATCTGTCTTACAATGATGTGTTCGTGTTAGTCTTATACAGCGTCTCCTCTCCCATGTCAGGTCATTTAAATATTGATCTTCAGATTGATAACATTCTGCTGTGTGCACTGTTCAACACATGGTTCATAGTTCAGATCGTTCTGAATCATAAATGTCAGGTCAACAAATGGTGTCAGGCCAGCAGCTGATTTCACAACACAACATAAATAATTAATAACAGTTGCTTTGCACAGTCACTGCACACATCACACTTTCAGAAACCAGGTGAAATTAAAGATACCATAACCACAACAGTATGTGTTATATCAACCTTAGAGCTTCCAATCCAGAGTGTGATGTCAGAGGAAATGGCTGCTGTGTGAATATAGTGTCTAGCACCTCTTATGTTGTTGTTGTTGTTGTTGTTGTGTCTTTTCCCAACTTATTAAATCCAGGAAAAGTTCTGCTCCTACAAACTAAACTTCTGTGTTTGCTCTCACAGCTCTTCTGCTAATTCAAAGAGAATTGCCTAATGACGATAGTCTCCTCCAAACAGTGTCTATGTTTAGCGCTCTAAGCTCTTGAAGCATGAATTGCAGCCTCGCAGCCTTTCCCACAGTTTTAAGGGATGCAGTTTTATAACAGGTAACATTTACATTCATGGGCTGAAAGTTCACAAGAACACCACATTATAAAATACTCCAGGATATATCCCGACTAGTATATTTTGACCACCATTGAATGGTTTGAGAGCAATGAATAA